CCCCCCCCCCCCCACATCTGGCACCCCAATCCCATGCCCAGATCACAATCCCTTTTTACCCTAGATTACAAACCAAATTCCTGCACCCCAGTCCCCTTCCCTAGGGCACATTTAAAAAGTCCCCTCCTACCCTAGGTCACAACTACCTGATTCACCCAAACTCCCTCCCAGACTCCATTCTTCCTCCTGCACTCCAATCCCTTACCTCAAGCCCCTTTCTGCACCCAGCCTCCATCCCACACACCGCACCTTCTCCATCAATATCATGGAAAAGTCCCACCCTTGACCACTTTCCAAAATCTTGGAGTGGCCCCCTGTCAAAGATTATTGCCCACCCCTGTTCTGGACAGAATCAAATTACTTAACCAAGAATTGATCTTACAAGTCAGAACTCTGTGACCATAGGTATTTTTAAATTGTATGTATTCATTGATTGTAACATTGGAACATTACTAAATGGCATCCTCTAGCCTCAGCCTCTTCCTTTCAGTTGTGGGCTCCTGTATGTATCTTTCAGATTGATCGCAGTAGATGAGAGCTTGATGACATTATGCAGTTAATTTAAACAGCTTGGAAACTGGTAACCACTGGATTTTCTCTTGTATTCACCCACTGTTCTGTGCAGCTGCCAGGCATGTGACTTCACTAAGTAAACTTGATTCCTTAATAATTTAACCTTTTTGCATGTTTGTTAAATTCTTTGCCAGGTTCCTGACTAGACAAGTTGAGTTAAAGGAAACTTCTTTCTTGTCATTTTTGAATAACATAAACTGAGAGCATCTTCATCTTTAACTTTCAAGGAAGAATTTAGCGTTGTGAATACTAAACAGAATCATAGCAAGCTGTCTGGAGCTGTAATTCTAGTGGCTTTCCTGCTGTTTTTTCTGATTCTCTTCTAACCACACAGGAGATCCTAAGTGTGTATTCTCTCCACTTGTTAACCTTCTTAATTAACACTAGATCTTAACGACAGGATAGAATACCCCTGAACTTCTAACAAATCCAAATTTTGCTCATTGATTGTTGCCGCATGGGAGTGATTCCTTCCTGTATTTCAGACTTGGCTGTGTGTGAACTTATTCAGAATGCAGTGTGATCAGTGTGTCTCACTTAACTCTGACGTTGTCTCTTTTCCCTTCTTTTCTGCCTGCCTGCTGCTTTCATTCTGTAGTATTGGTATTTGCCATTCATTTCACCTTCTGCATCTATGCATCTCATGGTAGGTGATAGGCTTCTTAATCTGAGACTAGAATTTCCATGATATTTCTAACAGCTGCAAAAATGAAAGTAAAAGTCTTAAAGTAATATGTCTCCTCGAGTAATGACTTTGATTTCAGATAATGTGAAAATTGAACTTTGTAGATTGTTTGCTTTTATTTTTCAGCATTTAGAAGAGGATTAATTTGTAATTGGTATTCTGTTTAATGGCTACTGAGAACACCAACCATGTCTTAATCACTTCAGATACAGGAAATATCATGGTAGCAACTATGAGAGATCATCTGTTCTTCTATTCATCTTTTGTATGATTCTGGCATTTATGAAAGAAAACAAAATCTTGATTAGTATTGGGCATAATGGGTGCAGAGGCATTGCATAGGTCTAACAATGTACTTCAGTCCTGACCTGCTGTTCCAGTCCTGGTCCTTGTGAGCAGATATGGTCTTTTGTGCTAAATTATGTGCTGTGGACAAATCACCTTTGGTGGCTGGGATGTAACCAGGATATTGGGGGAGGGGGACAGTTGATGTATGTGGGGTATTCTGTGCCCTAGTGAAGGGAACAGCATGTGGAATTTGAGAAATATAGTGGAAACATGACACGGGTTACATATGGATTGCAGAGATTGAGGGCTTTTAGGCCACCAGTCCAAATCTTGCTCAGATTGCTAGTAGTTGTAAATTATTGCAATTAGGGATATAAATACAGATCAAAATAGTTAACTGGTTAAACTATTAAAATTATATCCTTTAACAGGTTAACTGTTGGTATGCTGGTGCAGGGCAGCCAGGGTGGAGGGTCTACGCAGGGCTGCAGTCCTGTTGGGTCTTTGGGGCAGGCATGGTGGGTGCTGCACCAAGCCAACCTGCCCATGGCAAGAGTCCCACCCATCTGCCATGTAGCTCTGCCCATGTCAGGGTGGCAGATGGAGTCTGGCCAGCCGTCCCCACATAGCCGGGGCTGCTATGGCCTGGCATGGCTAGCAGTTTTGGTTAACCTGTTACCCAGTAAACATTCCAGTAAGCCTAATGTTTACCGGTTACCAACTAACCTTTTACTGCCCTAATTGCAATGTTAGGTGTTATTTGGTGACCTGTATGAAGAGATTTGGAAGCCTAATTCTAGTTCTTAATGGGATGTGCTGCTCATAATGTAGACACGCTAATTGGCAGTCCTCCAAAGAGGCTAAGGACAGGGGAGACTGAGCAGCCCTAAGTATGACTCCTTCAGGTCAGGACTGGGACACATTAGCGGGGAGTGCAGTGTGTACTGGGTTGAGGGTCCGGGAATGTACTTTGTCTCTCCCTGTGTTCTTCCTACGCTGGAGATGGAGGATTTTATCTTTGGGGCTGTCAACTTGTCACCTTTGAGCAGCATCTTAGACATTTTAAAATATACTGAAGTTTTCTGTGTTTCCAGTAAGATTAAAATGTCTTTAAAATATGGACTTTGGGACTTATGCAGAGTTGGCTCAGTAATTGATTCCTTTGAGACGGAAGCTTTCTGGCCCCCTCTCCAGGCCAACCCAAGTAATGGTGGGAACAAAATCCAAAAGTATGCATGGATTTTCTGCCTAGCTCATGGTAAATTCCTTTTCAATCTGTTTAGAGCTCTGAGCTTTTCACTCTGACCTATGGAGCTTTGGTCACTCAGCTGTGTAAAGATTATGAGAATGATGAAGATGTCAACAAACAGCTTGACAAAATGTAAGTGAACATGTTGGGCTTTGACTCTCTTGGGAACTGAAGTTTGTAGTAAGACAGAACAGTGCAAATTTCTGATATGTTCTGCACCCAACCCAAATGGCAGACTAAATGCTGTCCATTGGTGGCTATTCGTAATTTAAAACAAAATATTTTCCCTTTTCTGGTATCTCCTGACATACCTAATTTCAGAGAACAGCTTTATTGCATGGATTTAGAACCTCTTTCTAAAGCTGAACTGTGCTGTTACGATTCTCTAGTTTGTTGCTGTTTGATGCATTGACAGGGGCTACAACATAGGAGTTCGGTTAATAGAAGATTTTCTGGCCCGGTCCAATGTAGGAAGATGCCATGACTTCCGGGAAACTGCAGATGTTATTGCGAAGGTAATTATCCACATACAGCCTTGCAAGCCTTTATTAATGCTGGTTGTGTTGCTGTGTCCCAGTACCATATCCAGGCTGTTCATGGATTGTTAAAATGACTCATGCAGAGTAGGGATGTAAGCGACTAGTCGACTATTCAGTAAGCATATGCTTGTTGGATAGTCGACTGGTGACTCTTCTAGTTGCTTCCCCCCCTGCTACCTCTATCAGAGAGAGACAGCAAGGGGGGGGAGCAGGTTTAAAAGCTGGTTCGTCCCTAGCACCATCTCCATGGAGGGCAGGGGAGGCAGAGGCGTAGCAGGCTGTGCTTCAGCCTTTTAAATGTAAAAGGTGGTTCTTAATACATTTAAAAGGCAGAGCCACAGCGGGATTAGCTCCTGGGACCTAACCCTGCTGCAGCTCTGCAGTCATGTGTCCTGTCCCCCCCATCCCTTATCTATTCATTTACTAGTCAATGTTATTTCTATTGTCTTCTCAGTTAGCTGATTAAATGCGTGTATCTTGTGTCTCCTTGGTAGTTGAACTCAACTAGAGAGACTGAAATCGTTACAGTTTCCTAAATACGGGGAGAACTAACCTAAAAAATTGAAACTTCTCTGAACCGACAAAATCTGATTCAGATAGTGTTCTTGGATTTCTCCCCTTAAGTGGGAATATTGCTTCCCCTAATTTCCCCACCCGTGAGGAGGGGATATAATTAACCTACTCACAAGGCTGGTGTGAGGCTTTGAATTAGATTTTCCAAAGCACCAACGTAAGTTAAGTGCCTGGCTCCTATTAACTTTCAGTGGGAGCAAGGACCAGATTTCCTCAGTAAATGTTTCCAAAGCTCTTTCAGATTCTTTGAACAAGTCCATGCGTAAATATTGCTATTTGGGTCACTTGCTCATCTCTGCTCCATGTAATTCAATAGGTAGCATTTAAAATGTACCTGGGCATCACCCCGAGCATCACCAACTGGAGCCCAGCAGGCGATGAGTTCTCCCTCATCTTGGAAAATAACCCCCTGGTGGACTTTGTGGAGCTGCCTGATAACCACTCATCTCTTATTTACTCCAACCTCTTGTGTGGGGTGCTGCGAGGAGCCCTGGAAATGGTGAGGCTTCACTTTTCTCATAGGATGGGTGGTGGAGCTGTGGAGGTCTTGGCTGGAAATGAAAACATGGAGCTTTCTGCAGACGTTTCAACCCCTTTGAAAAAGTCTTCATTTTCCTCTGGCTGTGAATCTATTTCAAAAGCGAAGTAGAGCTGGAGGAGACGGTTGGTATTGTCCAAAGGAAAGCCTCTGTGTTGAGTTCGTAACTCTGTCTCCACCTTGAAGTAGGGATGTAAGTAACCAGTAAATGGATAAAATTATACCAGCTGACTGTTTGCCCCACCCTCATGCGCCATGTTGGAATGGCCAGAGTCCTGCCTGATGACCTAGCATGGACAAGGTGGGGATCCCACTGAACCATCCCAGTATGGCTGGGGTTCTGCCTGGCTGCTTTGCTGAAGCTGGAGCCATGAGCCCACCTGCTACTCCAGAGCTCTCAAGGGAATCCCAGCCGTTGCTCTTGTTGAGAGGTTTGGGAATGATGTGGAATGCTATGACCTGTCTCATGTCCTGGGTGCACTATCTTAAGCTAACAGGGAAGCTCTTAGTCTAACTTCACAACTGGTTCCTCTTGATTTTCCTCTCCTCCTCTAGGTTCAGATGGCCGTGGATGTGAAATTTGTCCAGGATACATTGAAAGGAGATGGCGTCACAGAAATACGGATGAAATTTGTCAAGCGGATTGAAGACAATCTCCCGGCTGGAGAGGAGTGAGTCACAGTGCAATCTTCCCAAGGGACTGGAGGCACCAGCCCTTAGCTCTTATCATGGATTCATAGGGATTTAGTGCCCCCCTTTAAATTCCAACTCCTAGAGACTCACCGACTGTTTAAGTTGTGTTATTTCCATTTTCCATATCAGAAAACTGTGTTGTTCCACTGATCCCACAGGTTCATTCTAAAGATTTTCAGAGTGTGGATAACTTTTTCATACAACCCACGGAGACTCTTTCTACATTCAGTTTTTAGTTGGATACTGGGCTGTGTGCAAAGTTTGCTCCTTAAACGCTAAAAGATCTCCAGGAGGTTCAAATATGGGACTGAGTTTTATAATCAAAATTGGAGACCGAGCGCAAAGAGAACCCACCACAGGAGCTGTTTTCTTCTTGGGACCCATGCATTGTTCCCACTGATGCGTATGCGGGCTATGCTACTCTTGCAGGTAGAGGGGGTGAAGCATGTGTTTGACTGTCTCTAGCAGCAAAGGATGAAGCATATAAAGCAATAGGAATGGGAGTGTCCAATGGAGTATACAGTAGGTCTCATTTTTCCAGCTGGTCAGCACCTTACTGAAGACACCTGACTGTTGTTAAAACTCTGCAGTAGGTCCAGTGAGTGGAAAAAGTGAGGGCAGGCCACTTCAAACAAGTCCTTTTTGTCTAAAATAATGCTTGGGGGCTCTTCAGTGTAAATGACCTGCTTCCATTTGGGGTAATGGTGCCTTGGGTGAGGGGTTTGGTGGTAAAGCAGACTTCTAGTTTGTCAGAGACTATATTTAAGGGCCAGCAGCATCAGGCTCTTAGTTCATTTAGCAGAACAGAATTTCAGTTGCCATATTAGAACTCCGAGGCTTTGCCTTTTGCGTTAGTCCTAAGAGCATATCCAGTTTTTGCTGAAAAAATAGCCCTGGTTAACTTGCTATAAATATTTGGCTCTGAAGCAGCAGGGTCAACATCCACTATGGGGCAAGGTGTGGGGGAACCCTGGCTCTGTGCCCCCTGAAGGGGCAGGCATTGGGTAGAAGGGGCGGGGCTGGGGGCATTCAGCCCTTGGTGCTGCCCGGACTGCAGCCCGACTGTCAGTGCCTAATGGGCCCAGTGCTTCGGCCACCGCTGTTGCAGCAGTAGCCGGGATCTCCAAGCTCCTTTGAATTGCTGGGTTCCGGGGTAACTGCCACCTTTGCCCCACCCTGTCAGCAGACCTGTTCTGAAGTGTCTGTTACTAAATACTGGTCTCCAAAATAGACACCGAAATACTGCACAGATCTCATCTTCTTACTCAAAAGCAAATGACTCGTAACTAATTCTTAGTTTAATAGTTCAATACACATAATTCAAACCTCATTGTCTTTAAGGGCTAGCCAGGGAAGACTGCTTTAGGGCGGTATCCTAAGAGGAGGGTAGGCACCTTCCTTCAGAGGAGAATGGCATAAAGATGAAGAGCATAGTCAGCATGTCAGGATCTTCAAATTACCTATATCCTTTTTGGAGGCAAAATTCAGGGTTATTTCCCCTACAACAGTGCTGCTAAGGGCAGATGCTATAGGACGCTGTGATCTGGGTATATTGTGTTACAGCTGTATTCTGACTGGTATGTGATAAAGTTCATAAGAGGTTCTGAAAAATTGTGTTGTAATGCCCTGAATATTTTTCTTGGGAAAAAAAATTACAGTGGTAGAAATGTATTCAGTATTTCATAGTGTGTACAGCCTGGGTTTTATTTCCATGGGTTGACAATATTTGGATAGATATCCAGATATTATATCTGAACATTACAAGTATTAAATGCATTTCAGCTAATGTAATTCCATTTTCCCCACTACGATGTATAAATACTGCACAAGTGTGAAGCTTTGGTATTTTCTGGTAGATAAATCCAAGAGGCTGGAAAATTCACCTCTTGTTTTGTCACTGTTCAATTAAAAAATTCAGTTGGACATTACAAAGTGTTTGGAGGATGAAAAGCAATTCAGTGCAAAGTTGTAAGAGTAATTGTAGCAGGTATTTTCAAAATTAATCCCTCTGGGACATGAGTTGTGACGACCTGAATGCCAGCATTAGGAAGAAGTCATGGACTTGGCTGTGCAGACCGAAATCTCTTTTTATCTGTAGTTAGGGGTTGTCTCCAAGTGGAAGATGATGTGCGCATGCTGAAAGATGTGTGTGAAGTTTAAGCTTCTGTCTCCTCTGCTTTATCTGGTCTGGGAATAGATGTTGCAGTCTGTCACCCTTCACTAATCTGAAATGCCCTTTAGTGCACTTCTGCAAAATCCTCTGCTGGGTACCTCTCTGACCCTGAACAGCTTCCCTATCTGAGTCACAATTTACCTTGGAGTTGGTGCAATTCCAGTTCTGGGACAGTCCTGTCTCTTTCACTTTCTGGAGGGGGATGGTGGGTAGGTTGTCAACAGAACTACAGTCACCAAGTTCATTTCACCCAGTCAGTGGGTTGCCGAAGATTTTGAAACAGAACTGTCTAAATTGTAAATACTCTTGTTATGTATTGGCCCATCTGCTATCTTATTTATATCCCTCTATGGGACGCCAGTTGCTGTTTTGAACATCGATCTGTCTGGAATGTCATCTGTTCTGGAATTCCTGCCTTACCCAAATGAATTCTGGCAGCTACACAAGTTGAATGCATAAAACAGTGGCTTGCAATTCTCCCTTAAGGAGGCAGTAAAAGACTATATTTAGAAATTTGTATTGACAGACCTGATGGCTGATGTGTGTTGGGTGTACAATTACAATGTGGTGGTGTTTCAAGGATGTGTAAGGATCATTCTTTTTTTTCCTTCTTCTTCTTTATTGGTCCTTGTAAACCATTTTAAAGGCTGGATTTTAAAAGCCATTACATTAAAAAAAATCCCAATGATGATTTTTCAGTGGTCGCCTGGTCCTTTCAGTAAAGTTTGGGCAGGGGCTGAGATGGCCATGGATGTGACATGCTTTCTTGGGATGACTAGGCGATAGATGTGCCGTAGGAAGCATGTGTTTGGCCGTAGTGGGGAGGGGGGAGGAGGAATTTCGACAGTGGCAACTGAGAAACAGTAATGAATGGGTATTTTAAAGGAAGGCTGCATAATTTTTGCCCAGCAGGATGGTAGCCTGGAGATCCTGACGTGGACGGGGCTACTCCAGGCGTCCGGAGCTGCCCCTGTCCATAGTGGGCCCAGGGGGCCACAGGCAGAGTCTATTTCAGCTGGGCTGGAGCAGCCCCTGCCTGCAGTTGTGAGCCACTCCAGCCAGGCCTGGGGGGAAAGGGCTCAGGCTCTAGCCCAGCTGAGCTGGCGCAGCCCTTCCTTAATTAGTTGATCGGTTAAATCTGAAATAACGGTTAACCAATTACACAGGATTTTACATCCCTAGTACAGAGGCAGTCTCAGTGCGTTCTATTGACTGTGTCCAAAAAGGTGCTGCATTAGTGCTACACTAGTGCTACAAGCTGTTTAGTGGCATGAACCATTCGGGGGAAGAATGGACTCCGGCAATGCTATTAGGGAGAGATGGTGCAGAAACCCTTAATTCACTGCAGCAGCTGCAAAGAAAAGAGCTTTAGAGACTAAAATCTCAGTGTAAACTTCCCTTGTATTTTTCTGTCATAGCCACCTGTGAACTTGTGTGTCACAAGGGACACTGTGCACTGCAGACCCGAGTGAGGTACAGGCTTTCTGCATACTGCTCTGCCAACAGAACCTCAGTCCTCCTCTTTCCTAATATGCTGTTAGTCCTGACCTAAGCTACTGTACAGCTCTGCCTGTGCACTTCAGTCCTGACTTGCACCAATGCAAGGCAGGAGAGATTTTTTAATGCAATTTGTGCTTTGCAGAAGGTAGCAATTGGATGCAGTATCACAGTCCATGCAGTGACTGTACTGAGGAGCTAATGGGAAGTATATCGCTAACCTTAAAACCTCTCTGAAATCATTAAGATTGTATTTCACTGAATGTGATTATAAAAGTCTGAATGCTAGTTCTTCAGTGTAGCTGGCATAATTTAAATAGTCTAACACTTGCTAATTTCATAATACAAATAATTAAAATGTGAATAGATTTGTAAAATACTTTAGAATAGCATCTTGTGTCCCACCCAGTTCAATATGGATGCCACTCCAGTACAGCACTGCAGCTGTTAAGCACTTCTGCCTTTGCTTTTTTGCTCCCCAGCTATTTCACTTCTGAGCCAAATTTTGACTCCCGTGATGGAATTTGGGATTATATAAAATCTCCAAACTTATTCCCCCGCTTCCAAACTGGGACGCAAACTTGCCCCTCTCGAGGCAAAGAGTTGGACTTCTGTTGCCAGCTCCCCCCCTTGCAAAAAAACAACCAACCCACCCTCTTGTTTTAGAAGAATAGTATCCAGATACGATCTCCATTGCAGCACATTGTTTTAAGATTACAAAGCTCTGGGTGCAAGCTTGGATGGCCAGCTTGTGTTATAGTCCTAACACTTGTTACAACACTGGTGCTCTTCTTTGCTTTTACAAGTTGATGGGATCAAGTCCAAGTCAAACATGACCAAATGCCAGTTTTCAAGTATGTTTCCCCTGTAGATTAGAAACACGGAGAGTGAGCCCCTTTAGCCTTTCAAAGGGTGGCTGTGTCAGACTTCTGCTGAGCACTTGGGAGGCAGGGAAGTAGCAGAAAGCTGCTAGAACCGGGAAAAGGAAAATGCGCCCCTGGTTAGTTTGCTGAGGTGCTGAAAGGGGAACAAAGCAATTTCTCACCTCCTGCCAGAGCTGGGCACAAGGAAGCGTTTTCAGAGCTGGATCCTGTTTTATCCAGACCCTTCTGGGGGGAAGTGGCGAAGGTGTTGGATAAATGTCCTCAGCTTTGCTTATTTTGCCATGAAGCTCCCACAGCGAGACAAATTGGATACAGGAAAAAAACGTGCCTGGGCCCCAGTTTTGAAGTGTACGTGACCTGTTTTCTAGAGCGGATTTTGCAGCAGGCTCAAACTTGCCCTTTACCATGGGAGCTCAGCTGTGGCCCAATCGGACATGGATGTTGAGAGCTCTGATGCGCTGAATGGGGGGAAGTGTGAGGTTAAACTGGCCCTTGTGAGAAGATTTATGGGTGTTAAGCTTGGGTTTCCTTATACAGTTGGAGAGAGCAGAAATTGCCAGTGATTTATCCTCAAGGGATAAAGCTTGAACTACTGGGGCTTGTGTACATGGGGAGAGGGGATCAGATGAGTTCTGTAGGTGCTCTCTTCTGGAATAAAACTCACTGTCTTCTGGGATAATTAGTGTTCTCACAAAGGCCACTAATTATTTTGGAAGAGAGTGTGCACGTGGGCAGCTATTCTGGTTTAGCAATTGTGGTGTATTTCCCCAAGTAGCTAGGCCTTGACACTCCTTGCATAGCTTAGTAGAACACCAGTGCTGAATTGCTTCTGTTCCTAGGAATAAGCAACCTGCATTTCTTGAGGCCACTGCTTACTTTTTTCTGGCGAAAAATGTCTTCCCTTGGTGTGAATTCCACTGTCTTGTCATCTTCCTGGTGGTTATTGTTTATATTTAAGTATGAAACTCAGTGTGTCCCTAACCATGAAGCTGGACCCAGTGCCTCCATACTGACAGTGTGCCTAGGAGCCGAGCCCTGTCGTGCCAGGCACTGCTCAGACAAGTACCACACAGTCCATGTTCCAAAGAGCTCACGCAGGACAGAACTGATCCATGTGAGGGTGCATTGGGAGAATGAGCGAGCAAAGTGGATAAAGTTGTGTAAGAATCGCTTCTCTGAGCAAATCCAACAGGAAGCAGTAGGTATGCATTACAGCAGAGGTGGGATGTGGTAGTGAAGCTGTGCGTTCTTTGGCTATTTCACCCAATCTGGGTGACATGCACTTGCCGAGAGCTCTCTCCACAATACCTGTTTGTAGATCTGTGTGCGTTTGCTGCTCAGAGCTCCTGTTGACTCTCTGGACCAGCAGAGGGCATTGGCAGCACGTCTATGCTCCAGCATCTCTTGCATGGTTGCAGTTTTTGGTAGTTATGTCGTTTGTTTAAAACGGGCTCTGCACTTGGCTCTTTAAAAGAGACCCTCTGGGGCTGTAACACCAGGCAAATCTGCAATCCCAACGGATCAAAATCTGCTTGCTCACAGCTACGTCCTGGGCTGCTCAGCTGAGTGTGAGGTTGTAATGGGATAGAGGTGGGCAGATAGTAAACGGGGCCTAGGTCACATGGGGTATTTTATACTGAACATAAAAGCCTGACGGGTGCACTAGCAGGCGTGTTGGTAGCTGCTGCACTTCTTGAACTGTGGGGTCTGACTTTCTAACGGAGAGGCTTTCTAGGGCGCTTGACGTGAGAATAGAGGTTGAAGAGTGTTACTAATAGCCCACGCCCAGTGCAAGGAATGGAGATCAGACCCCTCCCGCTGGAGAGCTAAACTGCAAAGGGTGTCAGTCAAACCTGGCCGGGGAGTAGGGTCAATGTTAGAGCAGCCGACAGAGATACAGACCCGCGGTAAGAGGCAATCTCTGCCCTCATGAGCTTAGTTTAATTACGCAAGACAGAGTGCAGAGGGATAATCCCAGAGACTTGCCGACTGTCACACGGCAGAACTGGTACCAACATCTCCCAGCCCAGGGCCCTGCTCTCTGGGCCATACTGCTTGTCAGTGCTTGGAGTAATGGTAATTGATTTGTTACCTCACAGCTGCAGGGCACTGAACAAAACCCCACTGATGCATGCAGACACTAGGCCCTCTTGGAGTCTGTTATTAAAGACAAGCCCAAACTCTTGCTGTTTCATCTGCCTGCTGAGGTGGCTGGGTGTGATGCCCGGGATATGCCTCAGAGCTCTAAACTACAAAAAAGGAGAAGTCTGAGTGTTAGTTGCTATTTAACATCCTTACCCAAAACACCAGAGGATATGCCTCAGAGCTCTAACCTACAAAAAAGGAGACGTCTGAGTGTTAGTTGATATTTAACATCCTTACCCAAAACACCAGCACTTTTCATACTATCTGACTAATCGAATAGTCCATACATTGTGCATTGACTATTCAATTAGCCGATAAGGCGCCTCTGCCTTTGAAGTGTAGCAAAAGCCTTTGGGGTCAGCGGGGGACTCCCTGCTGACCCTGGGCTCCGTGAGGCACTGTCACTTTGAAATGCCACGTGCAGCCTGGGGCCACCCCAGCTGTCCCAGGGCTGCAGAGTTCTTCCTTCGACTTCTAACTGTGTAGACTAGGGATGTTAAATGTTGATTAATTGTCTAATCAAATAGTCAATGTATTTTGCATCGACTATTCAATTAGTCGATACGGGCGCCTCCCAGGGCTGTTCCTACACTTCAAAGGTGAAAGCCCTAAGGGGAGCACAGGGCCAGTAGGAGGCTCAAGCATTTCCCCACTGTCCCCGTGCTCCCCACGGCATTTCAAAGTGACAGTGTCAACCCCGGGTTCCACATGGCACTGCCGCTTTGAAACGCCGCATGCAGCCGGGGGACACCCCAGCTGGCTCCGGGCTGCACATGGCGTTTCAAAGTGGAATTGCTGAGTGGAGCCCGGGTTCTGGCCCCAGGCTTCAAGCGGCGCTGCCGCTTTGAAGTACCCCCTCCTCTCCCCCCCCACCCCTGCTGCATCTCTCTGAGGTGGGGGGAGAGCGACCAGTCGACTATCCGATAAACATTTGCTTACTGGCTAGTCGAATAGTCCTTCACATCCCTAGTTTTGGGCTCTGGTAATAACTGTATGTGTGGTGCCATGGCCAAAGGGACTCTGCACATATGCAGTAGAGGGGTGGGTGCCATGCTAATCCTGGGAGCAGGTGAGCCACCCGTTCTTAATGGCTGTTCCCCCAGGAATTCCCAGCAGCACTTGGCCTTTTCCAACCAGACTGCCCCTTGTCTGGCAGAGAGGAAGA